TGTGAGAGCGTGGTCTTACCCCGGTCAAGCCGATCCAATCGTGCTACAAACGTAATATAGCTGCAGCGTGGCTCTATCACGTAACATCCATAAAGGTGTCAGACAGTATTGTGTAGCTTCAGAAGTACTCTAGTACTTGTGTCGAGATCTACGGGGCCTACTCAGACTGGTTTGACATTTAATTTTTCATAGTATAAGGGTGACAAGCGAGGACACCGTCCATTTGATGGTAAGTGGATGCTGTGGCTCATAGACACCTACATTTATTTTCAATTAAGAATCAAAATGCAGATGCGTTGTCACTCCTGGGTACTAAGATAGAATGCCACGTTTTCCAGTAAAAAGGGTCTCCGGTTCTCTACACTCACCATACGAAACAGAGCAAGCATTACGCTGCTATTTTACGCTGGTATTTTGTGAGAGCGTGGCCTATCACGTAACATCCCTCAAGGTATCAGACAGGATTGTGTAGTTACAGCTACACAATCATGTCTGTTTTACACTTTTTTTATAGATAATTCTTTGTGAACTTCGAAAGTTAAGGCTTTTGATAATAACTAATATTTGAGTCGTCGGCGGGCAAGTTGTAAATTACTGCGTGTTTCACTAAGTTTAAAAAAAATGGGTATTGTTGGAAAATTGTGAAAGAAGTGATAGATCTATCGCCTACACAGTCAGAAACCCAATATCTCATTAGATATGCTAGACCAGTAACACAGTCAGCACATACTTTTTTGTTTCGTTAGAAGCCCCACATAAACTAGGGACATTTAACACCCAGACCAACATAGCACATATACGTTAGTATTTTAGGTGACGGTTTATTTTTATAATATGCATTTGTTTTGTTTTTCAGATAAAATTGCCATCACTGTACAACCCAGGTCCATCAGGTCTACAGGACAAGTAACAAAGCTAACTTTTTAACAAAACAAGTAGCAGATCTGACAATAGGATCTCAATGTTGTATTAATTTATTACTATTTATTTTAAACTCATTTTAATCAGTGCAAAAAATAAGCGAATATCATATTTTTATATGGTATTCATATTGAGTGCATTTACATATTAAATGCATCATTCCCCTTTTTTATACTGGTTTTTATATTATATTTAAATATTAACTAATTAAGCGTATTATTAATTTTAAGATTAGTATAGTTTTTTGACTAATATTTTTTTACAAATATTTACCGAATCAGTGTTTACTCATTTTGCCATTTGTTTACAAAAGTAATAATGATAACTTTTTATTCAACAAGAAGCAAATCTGATAGTGTAATCTGAATCCGTAATAAATAATAAGGGTAATAATGATTGACGTATATCATATTTTGATATGGTATTGAAATTTAATGAATTTGCATGTTAAATGCACCATTTCTTTACACTGTTATTTATTTTATTATTTTAAGATTAGTAAGCATAATATCAATTTTAAGATTGTCTTTTTTTAACTATTTTTTTTTACAAATATTTACTGAATTAGTGTTTACTTATTTTGTTATTTGTTTACAAAAGTACAATGATAACTTTTTAAATATTCAACAAGAGCAAATCTGATAGTGGAATCTGAATCCTGTATTAATTCATTACTATTTATTTTAAACTTCAATCAGCATAATAAAGATTGTCGAATATCATATTTTTGATATAGTATTCAAATTGAATTAATTAGCATAATATATGTAACGCATAATTTCTACTTTTAGTTTACACACTGATTTTATATATATTTTTTTAATTTTAATTTGAATCATATTAAGATTTTAGATGAGTGTAGTTTTTTGACAAACCATCGTACAATTTTTGAGTATAGCATATAGTTTTAACAAAATTATTTTCATCAAAATAAATATTTATTAATTTATATTTGCTCATTTTGCCATTTGTTACATATTTAATGCAATTAATAATCATTCCATTAATTAAAGTTGCTAGTCCATGTGCGAGGAGATATTTTGATTCAAATGTTAAGTGTTGCTGGCACTAATAGTAACGCATATTTCTCGCAATGTTGAAAGACACATCCTGATTGTGCTTTACACAGTGCATGCTATGATTTGACGATGCTGTGTAAATGTGTGTTGTGCACATATTATGTAATTACAAATCATGGTTTTGAATGAATACAATAATTTATATACAATTACCTATAAATGGTAGCTATGTTCGTATATCATAAATTGAGTTTATGTAGTTAACAAAATAACAGTTGAAGTCATTAATATTTTTATATTTAAAGATTATTTATGTGAAACTTATCCTTGACAAGACGGAATTACAAAAAAAAAACATAGTTAAATGCCATATTTTGAGAAAGTATAGTACATTTATAGTGACTAAGAAAATTCAATATTTATGAGAATAATATTACAAAAATTAAATATTTTGTTGTTTTACGCTTTCAAATGTTTATTTTTCTCTTTTTGCAGTAGGTATTAATATTGTATCATTTTAAAATGCTTTGAATGAAGCTTTACATATTATTTTGATAATCTTAAGTGATACTCTAGTTTTGTGGTTTTGCTATTTCATATTGAGCACGGAAAATACTTTTTTTCAATGCAAAAAGACGGGAAACTGAAGTAGTTACGATACAAATTACATAATGCTTGCATTTAAAACCACTTTTATGAGTGTAGCCACTTTTGGCATGTCGTTTTTTTCTATGAAGTCCTTGTCTGGAAATAATTTTGCTTACTATGTACTTTAAATTTAGATATTGTTTGCAAATTTTCAATTACAATATATTTGCAAATTTAGATTGACTTATTTTATATAAATGGCTAAATGTCTAAATAAACTTCGAAAAATGCTGTAAGTTCAAAGGCAAGTTGCAGGTTGCAGTGGCAAGTTCAAGCAAGTTGATAAGTTGATTAATGTGTGGCTTAATAGACCCGACTCCCATGTGTAGGCGGAAAATGTTAGCCTTTGGTAGAGCTTTTTTCTCCTTAGAAATTTGTCTGGAGTAGGTACCACATTCTTACTTATTTCTGTCGCCAAGCAACAGTAAAAGTAAAATAGGTTAGACATTTACGTCTCACTACTCCTGGGAACAGGATTCATTGATGAGAGTTAAACACATAGTTTTATAATTTTTTATGAAAAAAAGCACTGGTAAGGGCTGCCGCGTGCTCGCGGCAGCCCTTACCAGTGCCCGGCGAGACATCGAGGTTTGACGTACGTTTTTTTTTTCTAAAATTCTCCCTGCTTCTGTATCAATTTGCATGACAGTTGCCGGGAGCGACGTAGCTTCACACGGTATAGAGGGCCTTAAGAGGCGATTTACTTTGTTAATATCTTCGATAAAAATTTGCAAATTTTATTAAATCCCTACATAAGATAGAGATAGATCTGTACATAAGACAGACATTTTTGATAGAGATTCAGATACTTGAACCTTAATAGCTTTGTGGTTGCAGTATGTGTGAGCTCTATTTTTCTAGTTTTTTTCATACTCACACTCTGTACCTTTTTTACAAGTTTAATGATTAATTCATTAAAGGAAATTTAGATCTTTACCTAATTAATTGCCGTTTTCTATAAAAAAATTCAAATAAAACATCTATCTTCAAATAAAGGGGAATTCTAACATAAGAATATTGTACCTCTTTCTCATCGCCGGTAACAATTTGACTCAAAATTTTCCTCCTTTTTATGCCAATTCCGCAATACGATGCTTAGACACGCGCGTACGTGGCCTCTTGCTGTGCGTCACTCAGTTCGTGAAGAACTTGACCGCCAGTTTGATGTAGATTTTGATATGTTATTGATAATATTTTGTTTATCTAGTGTCTGCACATGTGAACTATACATAAGTGGCTATGACGAAGCCTTTCGATATCAATATAGTTATTTATTCCCCGTCGACTGTTTGCAGGCTTGAACTAACATTAATGCATCAACATATTGTTTGGATATTTTTAAACAAATTATTATAAGTACAATTTCCTATTACTTGAACTAACAGAAAAAAGTACAACTGTACAAAATTTTGAAAAAGGAATAACAACAGAAAAATTTTAGAATTCTAAGTCAAACCGTAGTTCAAAGTGGCTAGTTCTACAAAACGGCTATTCTTAAGTAAAAACCTAATATTTTATTGCTAGATAATATTTTACCGTCCTTAAGCGTATCATCAACGTCCATAGTCTCCTTTAATATTAAATATTTATTTAACACCTTCACTGTCCAGGTACCGCATGTGGGACCCAGACGTATAGCACTACACATCCAGGTCTCACATGTGGTACCCGACTAGTATAGTATTTCATACAAGAAAATATCCGTAGACTCTACGGAAAGGATCATTATCAAGAGGTGAATTTGTAGGGCTTGAAATTAGTGAACTAAAAATCTTGTGTACCTCCAAATATCTTTATTTTTGACCAAGTTATGACAAAAACAAAACAGTAAATGAAATAAAGAAAATGAACATAGAATATGAGTTTTATATTATGACCTAACCTAAATGAAATTTAGCAAAACATGCCAAACAGAATGGTTTCTTATATTGTTTACAAATATGGTCAACTTTTTTGACTTTTGATTTTGCTTAAACAACTGTCAGTCCCAATTTTCGCTGTTCATCGTAACACAGTGAGCACCGTCTCCTTATAATTTTTTTTGTCGTCCTTACGAGGTATTTCCTCAAGATAATGATTTGTGGTTCTTCATGACTGTGGTATCGATATTATGGACGATGATGACGGACGATAAATGGAGGAAGTGTCCTCTTCTAAATTCAAAAATAGTCGTATAATACGTGATTTAGCTTGAAGTATAGTCATTTTTTCTTTACGTACAGCAGTTGGATGTAGTTTGTTATAAACCGCAACGTTGTTTGTAATTGCTACGCCGAAAATCATGTCGATTGCAATTTTTTTATACCATATCAATGACTTTCTTATTGGTGATTGATAACTGCATAACTGGTCTGAGAAATCAATGCCCTTTTTTTTTAATTATATTCTAAAACTACTTGGCTGGCAATAATTTCACCCCGTTGTAAGCTTTTTTGCTTTCACATATTCCGGTAGATGTTTTCTATTTTTTCTTAGAGTGCCACAAAGATCAGTTTGATTAGCTAAAAGATATGTCGCTAGAGGAAAACTAGTATAAAAATTGTCTGCGACAATCAAACGACTAGCACCAAGTAAATTACGACATAATTTCACAACGATACTGCCAGGCTTATCCAAATTCTCTATTGTTTCGTCGGCGCCGCAATACTTCCAAGTATAGCCATCTGCAGTACATAACTTATAAATTTTTATTCCGTATTCATTAGTTTTGGATCGATTGTATTGTCTAAATAGAAGACGGCCTTTGAAGAGTACCATGGACTCATCAATTATAACACAATCGCCAGGAGTAAGCAGTTGTTGAGATTTGTTTACGATTTTATCAACAAGGGGCTGTACTTTGTATAATCTATTATTTGGATCTCGTAGGGCTGAATTATCAGCAAAATGCCAGCATCTAAGCATTAGAGTAAATGAGTGGATGGTAATAAATTGGATCCTTTTTCCAATAGCATTCCAGGGTCGGCTTCACAACAATACCGGTGTAAAGAATAATTCCTAGAAATTTTTTCATCATATTCCGATCAACGTCTTTCCATCTAGCAAGTCTACCAGCGTCCGAAGTAATTTGCGCTGCATATATTTGTGTTTGTTCCACCATCATATCCAAAAACTCGTCGTCTATGATATAACAAAAAATAGACTCCACAGTGAATGACTTTCAACATCGACGCCTAAACGTTCTTCAGCAGTAAGTAGTAAACGTTGTAGATCACGAACGGTATAATTCCATCCGTTGTTCATATCTTTAGTTTTCAAATGTTCATGTGGATCACTTCAAAGGCTATTTTGAGAAGAAAGTTCACTTACTGAAACTGCAGACACCGACGGCCCCTGATTTTCGATGGGATTTGGTGACTGCAATATTCATAGGAAGGTCGTCAAAATCTCTCTGGTCTGAATCATTTTGCGGTAAAAATAATTCCTCGAGAACGTGCATATGTTGAGGCTGACTATATTGAATGAATCTATTTATATTTTCCAATGTTTCATTATCAGAACTTCCTGAATCATGTCGATTATCTTGAGGCACTTCATAATCAGGATCATCTTCATCACTAGCGTGGAATGGATCTAATGACGAATCACTGCAATAATCTAATTCTTCGTCACTGTTTTCTAAATAACGTAAAATATCTTCGTCATTTGTTCTGCGAGACATCTTTCGTTTTTATTTAAAAAAATTAAACAGCTGATTGCTATAGATTAATAACAAAATGTACTATAGATTAAAAATAACCCCACAGATTAAAATTAAAAATGGGTTACATGTGGGACCTCGGACTCAATTAGCCCAGAGAGTTCAGGGATCCACATGCGGTACCCAGCACATACTATATATAATAGCTTGGACGTAGCGGGAAATTTGTAATAACTGCTTGGACAGTGAAAGTGTTAAAATCGGAACAGTCTTATTATAAAATGTAATTAGTCTCAGGTTTAAATTAGTTTGTTGTATAATATGTTAATTTAATTCTAAATATAATAATATTATTTTTTTTTTCATAATACTAACACATATAGTTTTTAAGTGTTCATGTAATACTAACCCATAACCCAACCTTTGTTGTCTGAAATAAATTTGAAAAAAAAAATGGAAACCTCGCGGAAAATATGCAAACAAAAATGTCGCGCAAACTATGCTGCCCTGATACGGAAAAAGGCGGCTAAGTGCATTTTGTCGATTTTGAGCTTTTACCACTAGACTAAGCTAACAATTCTCTATCGACCAATATTGGAATTATATTTTTACCATTGATAGTTCCTGAGATAAATTAAGCATTTTGGCGGTTAAGTGCAAAATTTTCTTTGCTCTCATACTCTAGAAATCAGTTACGATGCACCGTTACGCTATATAGCCGTTATGAGATTTTAACTATTTATTTTCTTAGTTGAAATTGAATCTTTGATGTTATAAAACTAAGAAAAAATGCAGTTAAACACATTTTCTAAGCCAAGAGGCAGTTAAGCGTAAATAACTGCTTTATACCTTAGTTGTAGTCATGCTAGGCTATACCTAATAATATGCTGAAAATCTAAATTAAAATTACACACTACAGGTCCTTACTCGATGTCAATAAAAATTTATAATAAATTGCCGGAATACATAAAAGCCGAAACAAATATTAATAAATTTATAAGATCTTTAAGAGAGATACTTATTAAAAAAAGTTATTATTCAATTAATGAATACATTGAGGAAAAGAATTTTTAAGTGTCTGTCCCTCTCCTGTTCATTGCTATGCCTTTCGAGGTGCACGTGATTGTTAGAACTTGCATGTTTTGTTTAGTCTCTAAGTCACATGTAACGCAATTTGTGAATAAATAAATAAATAAAGCGGTAAACACTTGTGGTAGAAGCTAAAAGACGGCTAAAAACACTTAACTGTTTTCAAACGTAGAATTTAAAAAATATATTAATATCACGTACTTCCCAAAAAAGCATTCACTGCTTTTTAGTGTATGATGAACCTTTGAATTATATTTGGAACAATATATAAACAGCGGCAAAGTGAATGTGCTACTCTAAAAAGCGTCTAAGTGTAAGTTTAGCAATTGACACATCAATGTGACGTGAAGAATTAGATAAGCTAGTTTTAAGAGTTAAAAAAGTATGATCAGAGCTCTTGTCCGAGTGCGTCAGAGGTATATTCTTTGGTTTGGGTTTTGATTTAGAAAACTGTATAATAGTTCTCTGAAAAAATGTGTCTTTTCTGATGAAAAGGACTTTAAGAACTAAGACTCAATTTTCCCATTAAATTGCGAGGAAGAAATTTAATAGAATTTAAAGTAAATAAAATAGTTATATTTATTTTTAAAATACAACTAGTTTTTACGGATTTTATCGCGTATATTAACTTTTTTATATTCCCTACGTTTCGAGCACTTTACAGCAACCATGTTCACGGGAGGGACTGAGGTCTTCGGCGTCCCGGTGTAATAGTTACCCGGGGTTATTTACAGATTAAAATTATTAATTTTGTGCCGGTATACACAGTATGAATTTATAGTATCTTGGAGTCTTGAAGTTGTATGCTTGGGTTGGGTTTTAATTTTATTAATTATAGGATCGTCGTCGAAAATCTTAGTCCCCCCGTGACAATGGGTGCTGCAAAGTGCTCGAAACGTCGGGAATGTAAAAAAGTCAATATACGCGATAAAATCCGTAAAAAAATAGTTTTATTTAAATGTGTAATGTTCGCGTAAATATAAGAAATCGTTACATATTTATTTTTACAATTATATATTCCACTCATTTTAAATGTAAGTTCATGAACTTATACGAATATTTTTTTTACCACATACACATACAGCTTAGTACTTGTCCTAAATAAATTAAAATTAATATAAAAATAAAAATTAGCTATTTTTATATCTTAAAACCCTGATTTAGTCAGTACTTAAAAAGTAGTCAATAATAGCACATTTTGTTCAAAATCCTCTCTAATATGTAAAAAAGAGCGTTATATTCATAACAAAATAATTTTAAAATAGGTTACGGCCAAGGAGTGTTCAATTCAATTTTGAGGTAGCATGCGCTACTACTACTGCTGCTCGGGTGCCAAGCAAAAAGGTCTGACAATAGTTTTCATTGTGCGTATAAGTGGATTTAGATTACCATTACACTAAATTCAAAAACAATATTTTTCCTAATTTAATAAATCGTTTCCGAACGTAAGGGAGCTTACCTCTCCCTTGTTACATTACTTGTGTATCAAAGATGTTTTACCTATAAAACATCTTTGTTGAGTATTTATATATTTTTTAATTTATAAGAAGTTAGTGAACGTAGCGAGAGAAAAAACAGCAGGAGACTGTATACCATTTAAACTTAATCAGTGAGCACATTGAAAACGACTCCCAATTCTTTAATAATTGATTCACTTTGATCTTGATCATACTCTATGAATCTCATAAGTGATTCTGAATCAATTTACAAAATTTTATCAACTCCCAAAAGTTAAGCGGGATGCTCAAACTTGATATCTCACAACACCGAAATAAAGATACACAATGAATTCACCTAACTGAAAACGAATAAAACGCTTCGAATATTTTTTATTATGAAGAAATGGTACCATCTATAAGCGATGTTTATAATTGTAATGATTATATTATATTTAATTGTATAGTTCAATATTATAGCCTTTCGATCGATTTCGGGACTGCCGTGATTTTGCAGTGCATCAGGGATGTAGTACTACGCCAACGTATCACATCTCTTATGTGCAAAGTGCGAGAGCGCTCCAATACTATTCTGAAGGTTATTAGTGGTAGAATAGAATAATTTTTTATTCAATATAGATTAAAAATAATTCTTATTGAAAGTTAATATTTTACGTTACCACTGGTTCGAAAAAATCCTCTGTCCTGGGAAGAACCAGCAAACCAGACTGTCCAGTCAAGGACACTGGGTATACATACATGGAGACACTGGATATACACATATGCGTGTATACCATGTGCCACAAACTAGCCCGTAAATATTTAAATTAATGTTTTAGTGTTGTTTTTATTCTGTTTACTAACATAATTTTAACACTTTTATGGACCAAACATCTGAAATAAATTCATTTTATTTTAATTTTATTTATTTAAGAATTGATTGCTATAGATAAAAACTGTGTGCCACCGATAAACATGTCGCAGAATAACTCCAAATATGCCAAAGAGTATCGTTACATTGAATTAGCCGATAAAAATTTTAACTCCAGTGAAGCTTTGAATTCAGTAAACATGCCGCCGAATAGCTCCAAATTCGAAGAAGTCTATGTCCATCTATAAGTAAAAGTCTGTAAAATTGCTTACTCCTTGATATCTACAGTACGTCTTCCAGTACCAGTAGAAGAGCGCTATTATTAAGAAAGCGGTGAAGATTTTAAGTCCGATGATTCGGTAAAAGAATGGACTATGTACCTTCAGTGGAGATGCCGCAAAACAGTTCTGATTCCGAAGAAGACGACAATCAGTCGATATCATACTTTATGCCACCTACCAATTTCCATGATAAAAAAATCAGTAAATAAATCATATTCGTCAGATCAGATTTAGCAGAAGATGAAGGATAATTGAAAACGGTTTGGTAGAGCAGAAAATCACATTTCAAAATAAAAAAGAGGTTCTTTAAGAATAAAAAACAATCCCATATTAGCACAAACATAATTGTATGTGTATGTGTAAAGTTTTGATATTCTTTAAACTAAAGCACATTTTATTTTACACTTAGCAACTTTTAAAACTTACATAACAAAAATATACCTATGCTAATGCTAACCAAAACGCGGTTCCGTTACATTTAACTACCTTTTAGTTTAGTTGCACTTCTATTTAATTTAATTATTTGCTGATACATTATACTATAAGACAGTCATATCACTAAAAGCAATAAAGTGTAGTCCAGGTAATTTAAACAAAGCGTCAAAAACCAAAAGAAATTTAAAGTAGGTAGCCGCATTTTTGCGTATAATTATTGTCAATGCTATGCTAAAAAGCAGTTAAGGTATACTTAACGGCCTTTTATATTGTAATTAATATTCAAATATAATGCTTCAATACTTACGTTAACTACATTTTTAGAGTTTACATAACAGTACGCCAATAATTTCATTCAAAAACACTACGAATTACTAATTACGAAAGATTCGTAATTTTTTTTACATGGATTCCAATAGTTGATATATTTTTTTCGGTGATATCTATCAAGAAAACCAATTTCGCGCTTTTTTTTAATTTTTCTCGAAACATACTTTTGTGACCTAGCCGCTTTCTTCCGTATCAGGGCAGTATGGCACGGCTTTATACCCAAGACTCAATAAATCATGTTTTGTAATAAGGTCGTTACGTGTTGTAATGTAAAAAATTTTCGTGTTATGTTAAATAGACGCTATAAAATTATGCATAATAATAATTATTAAACACTGAAGTTTTACTTGTATACCAATGTTATGTGTATCAATTTTTTTAATGTATTAATTTTGTAACAAAATGTGTGTAGAGAGTAATAGATTACAATAAAAAAATTAAAATCTAAAATATATTTCTTTCGAGTTTATATATTTTTCAAGTTTATATTATATTCAACAAACTGTTTGTATTATGCTTGCTGTAACTAGTTTACATAAATGTTTGTATGAAAAAATAAAGGAGTATGTAATGTTAAAC